TCAGGCCAGGGCAACCTGACAGTATCCTGTCACGCAATGCTATGAAAGTCTCTTCAAACAGTTTCTTGATGCTCTGGCCACCGCAGATGCTAACTAACGGTGCTAATTCACGGATGCTGCTGCTCAAGAATTCCCGTCTTCTTATTCGCATCCTATGCTTTTTCACTCTTATCGTCCCATTCAAGCTTCAATTTTATCCCCCCATTTTTCATCTCCCAAATCTTAGCCCTCCCTCATCTTGCTTTGCTAGGCTTTTACCTTCTAGTTTCAACTCACGTGAACGTGGAGAGTTATTACTCTCCTGTCGACAAGCCCATGTTCAAACAAACAGCAAGCCCAGTCCAGCGACTTCCATTTGGAGCCCTCGATCCTCCTTCAGAATGGCATGCCTCAAGGTACGCATATTGCTACAAATCGGTCACCAGGCAGCACTTGCCCAAACATTAGCGAACCTCTCGATTGATAACCGCTGCTTATGGGGCACACGCCTGCAAGCCTCGAGCTCTGTGCTCACTCTGCGATCCCCTTCACGTGATACCAGCAGCACATTTTCATTAGGCCTATCCGGTGACGGTGCAGCTTCGAGCACCGGCCAAGCCCGTGTTGGTATCGCCCTGATTCCTCGATCTGAAGCTGCTCTGGTTGACTGGCTTACAATCAGTAGCCGGATGTGTGCGGTCCGATTGGCTGGCTCGTTCAAAGCTTCGAAGCCGCGCGGGACTAACAGGTGTCTATTCGTCATCGCTGCCTATGCACCCACAAACTGTGGCGATGATTCGATGGAAGGCGACTTCTATCGCCAACTGAACGAGCTTCTTCGTCACAGAAGAAGCTCGGACACTGTTGTGCTGGCTGGGGATCTGAAAGTTCAAGTTGGAATATTATCCACTGATGAACTGCGTCTGGGAGGCCAACGTGCTGTGGTCTCCTATAACGATAACGGTGAGCGGTTACTTCATTTGTGTGAGGATGCTCGCTTATTTCTTGCGAGCACTAATTTCTGACACAACACCCGCCGGAGGGTGTCTTGGCGCCCACCAGCCTCGAACAAGCTATGGACGTGAATCAATCATATTGCGATAAGTTACCGATGGTGAGGCTGCATTCAGAACTGTCTCTTGATTTGCAGCACAGTTGTGGACATCGACCATGCATTTGTATGTGCTGACCTGTCGAAGTGTTTTGGCGGACACCCAAGACGACGTTGTGAGCACATTGACAACAGCAAACTGCCGAAGCCAGCTGTTCTGAATGCCTATCAAAGTAAGCTAACATACGAGTTTAGTAAGTGCTTCCTGGAGGCAATTGAATCTCAATGGTCTCATATTCACCAGTACTTACTAGCAGCAGGCAAATCCTCATGTGGTACGTCTAATCGTCAACATGGATATTGGGACTCTTCACAGTCTCTGGAACTTATCCATGATCGCCGGCATATTCCGGCTGGAAGCGAACACAATGAAACTAGCAAAGAGCTCCGGGCAAAACTCCGTGCTAGCTTGAAGAGAGACCGCGAATCTTGTTGGTCTCCTCGTACACCAAAGATGGAAATAGCCGCTGCCCTGGGTAACCATCGTAAGCCATTCTGGCTGATACGGGAAACGGGCTGCAGAAGACCTGATGTTAGTGAAAATATACGTGACGAGTGTGGACAACGTATCCACAAGTTGTCAAATCGCTTGGAGCGTTTGGCTGAGCAATTTGAAAGGCAAATTATTCTGTCGTAATTGTTAGCTTTCTCGCCGTCCACTGATCGCCCTGCTCCGTGGGCTGTCTTTTGGATAGACCCTTTCGCAGATAAGTCAAATTTTAAATCACACAGTTAAGTTAAATAAAGCCACGGGAATAGATGATCTTCCTTCATCCCACTTAAAATGTGGGAAAGTCTGCTCTTGTGGACGCTTTGTACGAATTACTAGTGAAGCTGTGAAAGCAGGAAACGGTCTCAACCGACTGGAGCCGCTCAGTCATAGTCCCAATTGTCTAGGGAGGCTGAAGATCGAAATGCGGCATCCATAGAGGAATCAGTCTGACCTCAATTGTATCAAAATTGCTTGCCTCTGTCATACTTCACAGGCTGACAGGCAGTTGTGAAAGCTATATTCGTAAAAAGCTATCTGGGTTTCGTCGAGGTCGTGGCTGCATTGACCGCATCTTTACTTTGTGTCAGTTGTTGGAGCACCGGCACACATATTGGCGGCCCACCGTTTTCGTGTTCCAAGACATCCAAGGTGCGTTTGATTCGGTTGATCAATGTACCCTGTGGAACTTTCTACTTGGAAAAGATGTACCTGAGAAATTTGTAAATATTATCGGAGTATTATATGCGCGTAGCTTAGACAGAGTGAGGGCTAACGGCTAGTCGTCGTCGCTTTTTAATATCTCCAGCGGTGTGAGATAAGGATGCCCGCTGTTACCTTTCCTCTTCAAGTTCGTTGATGACGAAGTCATGGAGATATCGTTTCACAGGACACGATGTATAAGATGTGGATCCGCTCCCAGGAGCACGACTTCTTGACTTGAAGTATGCTGACGACATTGCCCTACTCTGTGACAGCTCCCAGACGTGCCAAGTGGCACTGGACAGATTAGCACTGGCTGTCATCCGCTTCGGGATTCGGTTTACACCATCGAATTGCAAAGCGTTCCTCCAAGAATAGCCTTAACCGCCTCCTACGCTGACCCTTGGTGGTGATCAGCTAGAGGTCGTTCACAAATGCAACTACCTGGCGAGTTGTTTCAGCACCCTTGGGATTGACGGTGAGATAACAGACCGTATAACAAAAGCTCTAGGCGCTTTTGCTAACCTTCACCATTTACGGCGCCGGCGCGGCATCATTCTCGCCTTGAAGGGTAGAGTGTACAATGCACCGGTACCTTCGACCCTACTGTACGGTTGTGAAACCTGGCCCCTAAGATCAGCGCACCTGAAGAGTCTAGTTACGTTCGACCACCGGTTCTTTGGCAATTTAGCTCACATCTGGTGGGAACACCGCGTGATCAACGAGCATGTTCGACGCCTTGTTTACGGTAGAGGAAAATGAAATAAACCGCTCAGCACAGTTATTTCACGAACCAGGCTAGGATCGATAGGCAACGTGTTGGGCATACGAACCCAGCGACTCCCGCGATGTGCCTTAGTGTCGCGCCGGGGTTGTGAATGCAAGAAGAGGAGAGGTGGCCAAGCGATGACTTGATCGAGAGAAATGAATGAATCCTGGTCGACCGAACCTGATGCCACAATAGCAATAGGTTGTGAAATTTCCACTTCCACACCAGAATGAAACCAACTGCCTTTTAGCATCAAAATGGCAGCATTTGAATATGCACTTCGATGCAAGATTGCAGTAAATTCCATAGCTTTTGCTTGTAATACTGGAACATTGCGGCACAGAAACAATGGTTAATGCGTCCGGCTTACTGCAAGACGTCCTACACTGACTTGTCAACCAGCTCGATGCTTTTCCATTTTTCCAGAATGCTTTTAGATAATTCCCGTAAAGGTTTTCCTGAGTATATGAGAATATTTTACTAATTGCAAGCACAAAGCGATATTGCGAATAGTCTTGAAAATTTGACTGAAAAGATATTGAGGTCATCACCATTAACTCAGATAAACAAAACTGCAAAACAGTTTATACGAAATGGATGCTTCCGCAGTAACTAGCGTAATAATGCTTTTCATGGGGAACAGCAACGGCTAAGTTGATGGACCTGCCCATCAACTCAAGGTACATTGTTACTTCACACAACATGGTCTTCTAATCGCATAGGATACAGCAGTCGGATGCAGTAATATGTCTAGCTTTGTTAAAATGGTCTTCACTCAGTTAATTTAGAATCAAGAAGACGAAACGGAGGTTGAACTGAATGTACAGCCAGTAGCCTGTTTGCATCTCTTAATAACTCCGAGATCAAAAACTGCTATCGCGTTTTGGGAAACAAAGAAGAGTTATTTATATTATTATTCTTATTCAAATTTGCTTACAGTTTAGTAACACATTTGCAACTATCTGTGCTGTAGCTGCAGGCAGATGGCTAATAACAGGATGACGAAGAAAAGTAAATGGCATTGCGTTTGGATTTTGTCATGAGTAACTTAACTTTTGGTTGATGTCTGTACTTACTGCATTCACTGCGACCATGTTGCTGGTGACAAAATTATATGTCGTGGTTCTAATAGAAAATACATGTAATGGAGCACGGTAGTTTTGCTGCATCCGCTTTTTCCTCATTCGAGGTGAGTTCATCAGTGCACTAGCAAGTAGCAGAACGGAGGGTTGGACAGGACTTCACCGAGTTGGAACTATTTGACAGGCACATGAATACGCGAACAGTTATGTATCCTCCACGAATGTTGGAGACCGCTAAGTTCACCAATTAAGAATCAGAGGAATCAACTTCCGTGGTCATGTGCTCGTCGAACAATTCGGATTAATATTGGTAGCACTTCCGCCCAGACAGTCAATCAATCTGATTCACTAGCCCCTCGCTTCGCACCACTGTGCCCCGCTACCTACTAGTGCACTGCTTATCTCACCTCGAGTGATGACGAAGCGTTTGCAGTAAAACTGACTAGCTCAGCGAACACTTCCAGCTCCAACTGAACAAACTGAGCTACCGATATATGCTACCATACCACAAGCAACAGAAGTTAAACGGCACATTCTGCTCGGTTGTCTAGGTACAGCCAAGCAACAAATATAAAAGAATAAAATACACGTAGTCTATCATTCAAAAAATGCAAACGAAGGTCTTCTAGCTACCCAAGGCATATTTATCTCTGTTTATCCTCTTTCGCATCAGTACACATATACATCCCACCATTGAAAATAACCCTTGGTTTTTATTAAAATCTTCAACTGTATACGGAATTTGGATTAGAAATATCTAATTATTGGTGAGTGCAATATGTTTAATTTTATATAATAAGACTACAGACATTGCGTTTCAAAGTTTGCCGTCATTTAATAAACATTTGTAACAAATGTTTTACCCACCATTTGAAGACGACCCTGTGAATGTAGTTGTTTCGTCATCTCTCACAGTGGACGTGGTTTCATTTGATTCCGTTGTGGTGCTTGAGGTGCTCGCGGTTGTCGGTGTCTCCACTTAATGAATAGATAGGGTCGAAAGCAGAACTGGCTTATAAGAAATGGTATAACGAATGAACAGTTTCACATTTCATACTTTCCTCATTCGACGCTGAATGATATCGTGTATATATCATCTCAACTAATAACAAGTAACTTTGTAAATATATAGACCAAAGCACGAAACATACAAACTATCCAATCACAACAAATATACTATATACAAGCGCCTAACCGCGAATCATATTACAGCATTAAATTTGCATATTAATACCATAAAATTCTGTGATTGCATGTTCCTAGCATTTATTGTGTGGCCACGCATGACAACTACCTTCAGCAATTGTGACTTTTTCATTCTAGTGCACATGTTGTATAAAAGTGGAAATTTGTGATACATCAGCAAACTAATTGCACGCAACAACTCAGAGACATGCAATTTAAACACACATACATGAACAGAATATCCAGCAGACGGTGAGGTACGACATCAACTTCTCCAAATAGGTGGATAACATACTATACCGTGTATAGGACCATGTAGTATTGATGCAACTAGATCAAGAGTCGAGGCAAGCATATGTATCACAATGACTGAGTTAAACGTTTCACTATTGTCTGAATCATTGATGGTTGCGCGGTGGCATAGTCTGCTTTGATAGGCGGATGGCTGGCATCGGGTCTTTTGCAGCATTGGCGTTAGGATTCCGTATACGATACCTCCCTCTTCTGTTCACATGTTTGTCTGGAGCCTCTAGCTCTTGAGTTCATTTGAATCGATCCGGTGGTCCTCAATTCTGTACCGGGTGTAAATGTCGGTCCTTCAGGGACAAAACGTATAGTCTGCGAACAAAAGGACCAAGCGAATACGCAAGCAGAGGGCGAGTGAAACATATCGGTATATACAGCTGGTTGGATCCATGATTAACGACATTTGTGAATGCATGATATCTTTCCTTTGGTTCAGTCAAACAAACTCACTCCAATGCGCCCACTGTTGGCCAATCAGCGTGTATGCGAGAAACGTGTGAACGTCCAATCAGCTGCCGCCTTTCCTTGCGGCAGCCTAACGGCTTCCTTGCTGGGCTGGCACCGCACGTTCGTTCGAGTGTATACTCCCATCACATCCTCCCATTTTCATGTTATTGCTGCTGTACGTTGCTAAATGGTCCATACACTTTACCACTCCGCGTCCTCTTTGTTGGATTTGCCGATGTCGCCCCATTGCCGCACGCAGTATAACGCTCTCTCCCTGATTCATGCTGTCGCCTCGGACATCTCCTCAGCTGTACTCGATTTCTTCTCAGCTTCTTCCCTCCAATATTTACTTCGTGTGACCTTCCACCGACTTTCGCAGCCACGATTCTTTTTTTCCACCGCTCCTGTCCATCGGGAATTGGTTCAACCCATACTTCTTCCCCCACTCTCAGCTCAGATAATTCCCGCGCGCCGTTGTCGTAGTACCGTTTCGGAGTAGCCATTCGCCTTTTCAAACTGTTCTGTACGTTCTCAAGTTGTGGCGTGACAGGGCGCAGAAGTGTTGCGGATGCAGGCAGCACAGTTCTGGTCCTTCGACTGTATAGGCGCTGCACCGGGCTCAGGCCGATATCCGTGTAATGAGTGTTGCGACTCTCCAGTAGCATGAGGTATGGGTCCTCCCGAGTATCTCTAGCCTTCGCTAATAGTCGCTTGGCTTGCTTCACTGCCGGCACTGCCTTCCCATTTGATTGGCTTTGATAGGGACTGGTTTGCCGGTGTGCGAATTCCCATTTGGTTGCGAAAGATTGGAATGCCCTGCTGCTGAACTGGGGACAGTTGTCCGAGACTAGCTCCTCCGGTATCCCGTGCCGTGCGAATTGACATCTGAGTTTGTTGATTACTGCCTCCGTGGTCGTGGTGGTGAGTAAATCGATTTCAAAGTAATCACTATAGTAGTCCACCGTGTGTAAGTAATCCTTTCCATTGTCCCAGAATAGATCCACTGCTACCTTTTGCCACGGTCGGTCCGGAACACCATGCAGCATCATCGGTTCCTTCGTTTGCCGAATGTCGTGTGAACGACACGCCTCACAGTTAGACACATGATCCTTGATCCGACTTGTCATACCTGGCCAGAATATCAGTTCTCTTGCTCGATTAATGGTGTAATTTGCACCCAGGTGAACGCGATGGACATGCTCCAGCATCTCCTTTCGGAGAGAAGAAGGAATTAGGATTCGACTTCCCTTGAACAACAGACCGTCACAGACAGTGAGTTCGTCCCGAACATTGAAGTAGGGTGTTAATTCCTTTGGGAGCTGCTTCTTTGTTTCTGGCCACCCATTGAGGATAACGTCTCGCAAAGCTGCAAAAGTTTGGTCTTCCTCCGTGCAACGCCTTATGTCTGTCAAACGGTTTTCTGTCACAGCCAGATGCTGCGCCATGCTAACTGTCTCGATCTCTTCTAGATGATATTCGGCCACTGGCGGATGTGCTCTCGACAGTGTGTCCCCGTCGTTGGGGGACGGCATCTCTTGTATCGCCTTAATCTTCCATGGGTCAACCCTGATTCCGTCGGATGTTAACACATGCCCATGGAAAATCACCTCTTTCCGCAGCTCTACTTTCTCGCGTTTTAGCTTGATGTTCTTTTGCACGCAACGTCTCAGGAACCGGTGTAGCTTAGTGTCATGCTCTTCTTCGGTAGAACCGTAAATCAGAACGTCATCTGCCACACAGGTTACGCCATCTAAATCATCTATTGCTTGCATCAAACTCTTTTGGAAAATTTCGCTAGACACCTTCAGGCCAAACGGTAATTGCAGCCAACGATAACGTCCGAACGGTGTAGCAAATGTGGTGAGGAAACTGGATTCGTAGTCTAGGGCAACGTGCCAGAATGCGGAAGAAGGTCTACTTTCGTGAAAAACTTAGCTTTTGTCAAACGTGGTAAAACATCTTCTAACGTCGGTAGCGCATAATGTTCTTTACGCAGGGCCTCATTCAGTGGCTTCGGGTCTATACATACGTGTAGTTCGCCATTTTCCTTCGTACTGATTGCGACTTGGCTAACCCAGTCTGTTGGCTCATCAACCTTTGCAATCACACCCTGCATAACCAGCGTGTTCAATTCCGCGGAAAATCGGTCACGTAGCGCAAATGGGACTCTCATAACAGGTAACGCGATCGGACGTACCAAAGGGTCTAACGACAGGCGAGCGGTACCCTCAAATTCCCCTAAACCCGGGCTAAACACAGACGGATACAGGTCACTAACATCGGCTTCACTCTGACACGCGTAAACAAAACGATCATGGTTAAAAATGACAAAGCCAAGAGGTAAAATCGAATCAATGCCGAGAATCGGCGTGAGATCCTCATCCATGATCACGAACTGCAGATGATGCGAAACACCGTCTCTCGGATTGACCACTTCAATTGTCGCTGAGCCCTTTGGCTTGAGTCTGGAACCATTCCACATGCGCAAATAATCTTGATCGGATTGAATTTGCACGCCGCGGCAGTGCTTTCTGGGCAAAATATTGATCGTCGCGCCTGTGTCTAACTGGAATCGCACAGACCGTCCCTCGATCAGAAGACATGCATAGACACACTTCTGCGACGCTTTCCGAGACACGTTACCATTCGACTGTTCGGTGTCTTCGGTTGATTTGTCTAGAATGAGTGCACTGACATCTGTCGACTGACAGCAGCGGGCGAAGTGATTGCGCTTCCCACATTTGACACAAATGCGGCCCCACGCTGGACACTGTTCGCGGTTCTTCGGATGTCTTGTTGCACAGATGTTGCAGGGCTCCTGTCGCGCGGTCGTGGCCCTCGTAGTTTTGCTCCTGGAAACGGCGCACAACTCTAAATCACCTGTGATTGTCATCTACTGGAACTGATAGGCAGTGGAGGACTCACAGTTACAGATGTCGATACATTGTTGCAGATATAGGTTGCGCTTTCGTAATAGTCGCTTCGTCAAACCATCGTCATTGATCCCAAGAACAATGCGGTCCCGTATGAGACTGTCCGCCATGCATTTAGAGAAACTGCAGGATCGGGCCAAAATCTTTAGCTCAGTGACGTACGTGTCAACGGATTCACCTGGCCGCCTGTTCCGCGAAAAGAAGAGCTAGCGTTGAAATGTCTCGTTTGTTTGGCCTTCGCAGTATTCACTGAACTTCTCAAGAACTGTCTCCAGATTGTTGGCATCTTCGCTCTTGTCGTAACACAATGTCTCTAGCACGCGGCGCGCATCATCTCCTGCTGCGTGTCGAAACGTGGCCAAGCGGTACGCGATCGGTTGTTTGTCTAGACGCGATAAAGTGCAGAAATCCATCAATTTGCTCTTCAACAAACGCCAGTTGCTTGCCAAACTGCGTTCATCCATGTTCAGCGGGGCAGGCATTTGAATAGCCGGTGCAGCTCCAATCATCGTCTGGGTGGTACTAATGTTCTTCTCCTTCTCTGACACCATGTAAAAGTCGGTCCTTCAGGGACAAAACGTATAGTCTGCAAACAAAAGGACCAAGCGAAAACGCAGGCAGAGGGCGAGTGAAACATATCGGTATATACAGCTGGTTGGATCCATAATTAACGACCTTTGTGAATGCATGACATTTTTCCTTTGATTCAGTCAAACAAACTCCCTCCAATGCGTCCAACTGTTTGCCAATCAGCGTGCATGCGAGAAACGTGTGAACGTCCAATCAGCTGCCGCCTTTCCTTGCGGCAGCCTAACGGCTTCCTTGCTGAGCTGGCACCGCACGTTCGTTCGAGTGTATACTCCCATCACACTGGGCTCCTGCGTAACGTATCCGATTATGTCATCGATGCCTGGCTGGTATATTCCACTCGATCTGAATTTGCGCCCGTTAATTCCCCAACGAGAACTTCTCCAGCAATCTCTGAAAATTATGCTTGTGATTTCTGGGAGGTAAACAATGATTACTCTTAGAGTGGAGTCTGAGTAGGTTTGTGTGGCAGTGCCACGTTTCGCCATGGACCAATATAAGTAAGCGACTCGATCAATG